GTTACCATGGTAACTCCACTGCACTGTACAGCAGAAGCCATTTTAAGGCAGTACATTAGAAGCCATTTTAAGGCACAACAGGCTGTATCTTAACAGAACACACACACCGAGGGTGTTAGGGGTGTCTTACCCCCACAATATTTTTTTTACAGACAGTAAGTCATCTGTGTGCCAAGTTTGGTTGAAATTGCTCGAGGCAAGGTTGATTTTTAAGACATCTGAAGAAAAGAAGAAAAATCTTCTGGTGCCTTCTAGATGTTGTAGATGATAGCTTCATCTTCTGTTAATTCTTGATTTATATGGCAGAGTCAGAGGAATAATTGATTGCTTCTAAACAGTTTTGAAAGTTCCCAATAAAGTGGAATACCATAATCTGCCCATCAAGTCCAATACTGTATAACCCCAGGAGTCTTTGCTGACTGGCTAACTAAATTCCTAGATACCTATGACTATGGTGCTGGGGATAATGGTAGCTGTATTCCATCCAGGTACCTATTAGGTAAGGGAAGCTACTGTAGAAAGACCTTACTGAGCTAGACAGATCAGGGTTTATCTTACTAGAAAGCAGATTCATCTATTTAAACAGTGAGAATGTCTAGGCTCATCAATTACTGGCATTGACAGACTTGATAGCTGAGATGTTGACATTTAAAAAAAAAGAAACTTCCAAGGCAAAATTGAAGAGGAAGTATTCAATCACTAACCTTTCATCATCTTGGGTGATTCAGTTCAATCTAAAGCACCTCTTGACTTTCCTGGAATATTAGGGTGATGGTGTTTTTTCCCCTTAGCTTCAGAAAATTGTGCGAGAGCATCTGCCTGACAGCCTTTCTCTGCCTGTAATGTTTGCTGGCTACCAACTCACAGATTCATTTATTTTGCCAATGAAATTGGGAAGTCTAAAAGCTAGATCTGAGTGTTGTTTGCCATCCAAATCTAGCAATTATTGCAGGCAATTAGTAATATGTAACTGGAGGCCCTGCAAATTAGGATTACCGGTTCACCTCAAGAGATTTGTGCTGTCAGTACAATATGATATTATGAATAAGCACTGTCATTCTATGGCAAATATGCCCACTCAGTCAGTGGCTACGTACCTTTGGGAGACCTCTGATAAACAGATCGGTGTTGCTTGCTGGATCAGAGCAAATGGGGAAATTTCTTACATTTCTAGATCGAGTCATTATGATTACTTACAGTGCTTAAATTTTAAGCCTAAATGTCTCTGATCCAGATTCAGATGTTCGTGACCATGCTCCAGGTGGTTTGGCTTTTATCCATAATTACGTTTCTTTTTTTAATCCAAACTATAATATGGGTTATGATTGAAGATGGGAAACAATATAAGTTGTTTTCATTAATTCTGGTTGTCAGACCTGCCACCACTTACACCTTTAAATAGAAATTGGCTCCGTTTGCTGAGAAAAGCATAGTTTTATTAGAAGTCAAGTGTATTGCAGCAATGCATAGCCAGAACTGTGAATTGTGCACCAAAATCTCTTAAATTCAGCCTCCCATCACTGATCCCCCCCATAACCAGGGTGAAATGCTATTGGTTCAAGCAAGGTCTCCCGAAACGGTAGTAAAAAATGCTACCTGCCCATGGCCAATCAGTTTCAACAAGATGTTTTTTGAATGGTCAGTTCAAACATAGATTGGTAAGCAGCTGCCATCTCCTAGCTGGATGACTTTGAGGCAGTGTCTTGGGGAGATGCAGAATTTCCTTTCATTTTCCCCCAAGCATTCCTCCTCCTACCCACTCTCCCCAGAGTTCATGGAAGATTGTCACCACATGGTAGTGAAGCACAAGCAAGCATAAGGTGGCAGCTGACACTGGTGGAACTTGGCCATTTGCTGCCTGGGGAATTCTCGGTTTTGGAGTCCACACATCTTAAGGTTCCCAAGTTTGAGAAACAGTGGTTTNACAGTTAAGCACTAAGCAGAGACATCCATGGGGACTCTGGCAGCAACTAGCTCAGCCTGACCTCAGCTCTTGCCTTTTTCCTTTTATATTTTTTTTTTCTTTTCATGATGAGAGTGATGAGGCTCTTCTTCCCTTGCCTCACCTGACTGCATGTCCCTGCTCTATTGTCTTCTATGGAGTTGAGGCCAGGGGTGGGCTCCAAAAATTTCAGCAATGAATTCTCTGCCCAGTTGCTGGGTGGGCGTGGCCAGGGTGGGTGTGGCCTAGCCGGCCTCCTGCACCACAGCGGTGGGGACATTTTCACCTTCCTCAGACTCCTCGACCCTTTAGGAGGGTGAAAACTGCCTTCTTTGGGCTCTGGAAATCCTCTGGAGGGAGGAAACGGGCCCGTTTCCAGCCTTCCAGAACTTCCGGGAGGTCTGTTTCCCCTCTCCTCCCTGAGTCTTGCACTTATCTCTCATCCAAAATAGGCTGCGTGCAGACTCCTGGGAGGAGCGGGGCAGGGTGGGATGGGTGCGGTAGAAGGGCCCAAACAGGGGAGGGATTTGGAGGTTCTCCAAATCGGCCATAACATTAGTTACAGGTTCTCCCCAACACAGGTGAGCCCGTAGCAGCCCACCCGTGGTTCAGGCTATTGAATGTTCAGATTATCCTTGGTCTCTGAGGTTTTTTGTTACTAATGCTTCATTATCCAAACTTGGTAACATCATCGGGAGCATAGTTTGGGTAACGAAACATCTGCAAGAAAACAAAAAACAAGCTCAGAGAACAATAAAAACACCTCATTTCAGCTCCGAGCGATAAATATTCTTCTTTATTGGTTCAGATTGTCTCCCAATTCATTGAATAGCATGGCCTCAAATTTGTAATCTATGGGAATCTCAGAGATCAGTGCTTCTCAACCTTGGCTACTGTAAGCTATGTGGATTTCGACTTCCAGAATCCCCCAGCCAGCGTGCTAGCTGAGGAATTCTGGGAGTTGAAGTCCATACATTGTATTTTAAAGTTGATAAAATCATAATCAATGAAAACATGCTGGTGTTTCGTTCTGGATTTCCAATCAGGTCCAAGGGTGTGGAAGATAACGAGACAGGAACTTACCAGACTGAGCGATATAAAGATCAGTTGCACCACATCTGTATAGGCCACTGAGTACAGACCTCCTAACAAAGTATAGAATATCACTGTACATGCAGAAATAATGATGGCAACATAACCCTGGATGTCCAAAATGACCTTCATGGTTGCTCCTAGGAAAAGATACAGTAATTACTACTTAAATTCAGTAATACATTTTGTGCTGTTGCTATTTCTCTCACCCAATATATTAATTTAGTATCTGATAATCCGGCGTTGCCCAGGTATTTATTTATAGGGGGAAAATGTCCTGACCAAATGTAATTTCTAATGTTGGATTTTTTTTCCTCCTTACCAGAGGGAACCCCCTTGTGGAGTACTGTGAAGCCTGCAAGAGCAACTTCTCCCTGAGCCCTGATTTCGGCAACAATTAAATTAGTTAAAAAGGGTTTCCATGTGCCCCCAGAAGCGTAATTTCTAATGTTGGATTTCCCCCCTTACCAGAGGGAGCCCCCTTGTGGAGTACTCTGAAGCTGTTACCACGGCAATTCCACTATGCTGTACAGTAGAAGCCAATTTAAGGCAGTACAGTAGAAGCCATTTTAAGGCACAACAGGCTGTATCTTAACCGAACACACACACACCAAGGGGTCTTAGGGGTGTCTTACCCCCACAGTATTTGTTTCCAGAGAGTAAGTCATCTGTGTACCAAGTTTGGTTGAAATTGCTCAAGGCGTTCCAGAGTTATGCTGTAAAAAAACACACACACACATACACAGCCATTTTATAGATTGGTAAGAAAA